TGTAACCCTGCATTTCCCATAATCCACCTAATCCATATATCCCTGGGCACTTTGGGCAATTTAGTATGGCCAATCCACCTAACCTGCACATCCTTGAACTAGGATAAATTTTGAATCCAGCAAAGGAAGACTAAAAATATAAGAAAAAGAGAAAATGAACTACAAGGGCAAATAAGTGAGGAATATAAAAACTGACAATAAGAACTTCTTTAAATACATAAAGAGGAGAGACAGGTAGAAATGTACATAGGATCCTTAGAAAATGAATCTGGGCAGAAAGTTATGGAGATCAAGGACTTAGATATTTTGCATCAGTCTTTATGGTGGAAGATACTTCTAAAATCTCATCATTACTAAAGAATATGCAGGAGGAATTAAGTACCATCACCATTACCAGAGAAGCACAAGTAGACAAACTAATCAGGTTAAATGCAGATATAGGTAGTTCTCCTACAACGCGATAGTTGTGCTCCTGTGTAACCTCGCGCTATAGAAAATCGCACTAAAGAAAATAGCATTACAGGGAAATTGCTATAGAAAATTGCTGTATCTGTACATCAGAAAGTTTGCGTTATCCAAACAGCATCCAATATTCATCATAGCATTACAGCCAATTTGCATTAATGAAACACGTGTTATAGCAGAACTACATGCAGGTCCCTTAGCCCTGATATCTTGCATCCTAGGATCCTGAAAAAAATAGCTACGGAGGTAGTGGATGCGTTAGTTGTAATTTTCCAAAAATCATAGTATCTTCGAACAGGCCTGGAAGATTGGAAAACTGCTAATGTGACAGTCCTTTTCAAAGAGAGAAGGGGGAGTGCAAAAAACGGTTAATTGTTGGCTAATTAGCCTTACAACTATTATTGAAAAAATGTTGGAATCATTTATTAAGGAAGTAATAGCAGCACATTTGGAAAATCATAATCTAATCAAGCAAAGTCAGTACAGCTTCATGAAAGGGAAATTGTATCTGACTAATTTATTAGAGTTTTTCGAGGAAGTCTCAACTAGAGTAGTTAGAGGAGAACCAGTAGATGTAGATTTGGACTTCCAGAAGGCACCTGACAAGATACCTCACAAAATGTTGTCATAAGATGACTTTGGAGTATATTGGCATGGATGAAGAATTGGCTTATCGGTCAGAATCAGTGAGTGGGGATAAGGGAAGTCTTGCTGCCACCAGGTGCCAGTGAGACCACATCTGGAGCACTGTGAGCAGTTTTATTCCCTTATTTGAGGAAGTCTATCATTTCATTGGAACCAGTTCAGAGAAGGCTCTCCAGGATGATCCCTGGTATGAAGGGATTATCTTATGAATAAAGTTTAAACTGGTTCGGACTTTAATCATTGGAATTTAAAAGAATGAAAAGTTAGGATTCTTAAATGGCTTGAAAGTGTAAATGCTGAGAAGTTGTTTCCCTTCATGGGAGAGTCTAGGACCAAAGAGCGTAGTCTCAGAACAAAGATTTAAGACTGAGATGAGGAGAAATGTCTTCTGTAAGAGTGTTGTGAGTCTTTGGAACCCCTTGCCACAGACAGATGTCGGGGTCTTGCAGAGTCCTTGTGTATATTTAAGCTTGAGTTAAATTCTTGATCAGTAGGGAAATCAAGGGTTACAGGGAAAGGGCAGGAAAGTAACATGATTCAGCAGATCAGTCGTTATTCTATGGAATAGCAGAGCAAGCTTGAGGCATTGAGTGATCCACTCCTGTTCCTTCATCTTATGATCTTAATCCAAAGTATACAGTCACTTCTTTGGAATTACATTAACTGAACCTAAATATTCAAAGTTCTTGATTCAAATAGAGAAGAAAAAGGAATTTGCATTTAAAAAATGTTTTGTTATGTTTCAGACAGTCCCATGATGATTCATGGTTAAAGTTACATTTGAAGAGCACTAACTGTGATATCAACAAAAGAAGCAGTCAAACACAGCAAGGTTGCATAGGCAACAAATGGGCTAAATGCAGAGGTAATCTGTTTTTGGTGCTGTCCATCGAATTCCTACAGTGAGGATTGAGACCATTTGGCCTATTGAGTTCACGCTGACCCTCTGGAGTATCCCACCCAGACTCACCCCTACTACCTCATCCCTGTAACCCTGCATTTCCCATAGCTAATCCACCTAACCTACACATTCTTGGACTGTGGGAGGAAACCAGCACAGCCAGAGGAAACCCATACAGATACAGGAAGAATGTGCAAACTTCACACAGACCAAGGGTGGAATTGAACCTGGTACTGTGAGGCAACAGTGCTAACCACTGAGCCACCATGCCATCCACAATTAAAGAACATACAGGTTAGAACCAGGGTCTTTGTATTATGCAGTGGAATATTTCACATCCATGTCAACTCTTCATTTCTGACAAGAAGCCCCTCCCTCAGGTAGCATTTAATGGTTGGGGTGTAGGGTTTCCTAACCTACCACTTAACAAAATGGCAGAATACTCAAACCACCATTTCCGTACAGCAGTCAATTAATACTGTGAGGAATGGCTTGACAACCAATCAGCGCCTAGAGTAAACTGTTGTTATCATTGAGAATTTGGTGTTCTTGCATTTATCCTGATGAAGGCAAGATAAAAAGCTTCAACATATTGTCTCTCTTTTCAGTAATATTCAATTTCCGTACCACCAAGAAACCATTATGAGCCATTTTAGCTGGACTGGGGGGGCCTTCCATCTTCATCTTGATTCTACCGCTAAGGTAAGAATTGACCCCAAATTGTTCAGATCCAAAGAAGAGTCATATCAAAACGTTATCTCTGTTTCTCTCTTCACGGATGCTGCCAGACCTCCTGAGTTTCCTGCAGTACTTTCTATTTTTATCCCATTTGTTCATTAGTTTATTTAACCTTCTGAGTTTCCTGCAGTACTTTCTGTTTTTATCCCATTAGTTCATTAGTTTATTTAACATTCTGAGTTTCCTGCAGTACAATCTGTTTTAATCCCATTTGTTATTAGTTTATTTAAGTGAATCTTCTTTGTACGTATTTTTAATGAGCCTGTTTGGAGATGTTATGACACATCTCTGTAGCAGGTGGGACTTGAACCAGGTCTCCTGGCCCAGGGTATACTCAAGAGTTAGTAGGAACTGCAGATGCTGGAGAATCCGAGACAACAAGGTGCAGGGCTGGATGAACACAGCAGGCCAAGCAGCATCATAGGAGCAGAGAGGCTGACGTTTCGGGCCTAGACCCTTCCCCTGCTTTATGTGTATGATTGGCTAAGTTGATATCCTTCTTTCCTCTGGCCAAAAGATGCTCATTTTAAACCGTATGCATGGATCAAAAAACTGATATGATCCGATTGGTAGGTAATTTTACAACATCCCTGATAGTAACTCTCCATTAAAATCCACACATAGTAAAGATTGGCTGCATTTAAATAGGTGGTTGTTTCACTTCCCCATGGGTGGCCTGGTAAAATTGCACCTAATGTATCGTATTGCCTCTCAACATCGCTGCAAAATCTATTGCAACAGGTCAGTGCAGCACTGAAATAATGCTGAAAATGCTGTGTTATTAGATATGAAATTTAGCAAAACCCCCATCACTCTGTCTCTCTCACTCACTCTCTCACACACACACACACACATACACACACACACACACACACACACACATACACACACACACACACACAAACACACACACACACACACACACAC